ATATGATAAATATTTGGTTAAGCCGAACATCTATTTTATTTATTTAAATTTCCGGATTTCAACTTTCAAACAAAACCGTGTTCTGTTTCAAGAACCAATCATCCGTCACTGCAGTTAACAGTGTAGTGGCCCGTAAATCACAGAAGATCTGCCCTCGAAACTGGGAGAAATAAGCGTGACCAGCCAGAACAAGAAGACGACAATCCACATCTCCGTCAATCTCACACAAATACTCACTCGAACATCAAACACCTGAACTATTTACACTATCTCACAAGAAGTTGCACGGATTTCATCGATCCAGCAGATTAGGGTTTCTATTCCCCTTTGTGTCTTCTTCCAATACCATTTTCAGCAGGCAGCGTTCACCATCTCGAAGTATCGCTGCACGGACTCCTGACGCTGAAGTCGTCGCTGCTCATATTGCGTTCTGATGAACGCCTCCGCTCGCCCAAATAGCTCCTCCCTTCCCACCGAAACTCTCCGAAACGTCTCCGACTTCCTAAACCTCGTCTCCAGTCTTACCTCCGGCGATGCCTCCAGAGCGCGGCCATACCTCTCCCAGGAATCGCTCTTCTTCATCCGAGGCTGCGCCGCGGAATCAGCCTTCTCGGCGCCCTTTTCCACGATAGCCTTCCAGGTCGCATCAATGGTGTCATGCGACTCATCGGGGTCCGTCCCTCCGGATTTGGGCGGATCCGGGTTGGAATCCGGCGGATCTGGCTCGGGATCTGGTGGAATGGCGCCGGTGATTTCCGATGGCTTCTGCGGGAATAGGATTTCTAATTCATTTTGTGCTGGGGGGTGGTAGTTCATGTTGTGATCGTGAAGCTTCCAGATGACGATGATGATGAAATGGACGGTGATGAAGAGGTAAGATGGCGAGAGCCAAGCAAAGGCGAGGGTTCTGATACGAGGGAGGGCGGAAGAGAGAAGATCGGCGGAAAAGGGCACCGCGGTTGAGGCGAGAATGATGGTGGTGGAGACTATTCCGACGAGGAGGAAGGCTGTTCTTGCTGCTGCAATTACTGTTGTTCTGAAATCTGTTGTTAGAAAATTTCGGTCTGAGGTAGCCATATTAGCTATAAGAGTGTGAATGAGAAAGGGAGATCAGAAGAGGGAGAATGAGAAAGGGGAGATCAGAAGAAAGACGCCATTGCCGACGAACGTGAAGCTATTAGAGTGAGGGAGAGAAAGAGAGGAGAGTGTAGAAAGTTCAGAATTTAAAACCCGGGTGGTTCGAATGGTGCTGTTATTATAAAGAAAAAGAGGGGTAAAGTTGGGGGAAATATTGCAGCTTACGGCGGAGGGACCGCTGGGAGGTAGAGTAGGCGGCGGACGATGATTTAAAAATTTCCAATGATATTGTACAAATTTTATAATTATTTGATTTTCTTAGTTTATAGACTAGTGTGAATAAGAATATAAATATGTCGTGTAATTTTAATTATTTAATGTAAGGAAATGAGAATTAATTCTTAAAAAAAATTTCACAATTGTATACTTTGATTATAAAATAATCTAAGTGTATTTTATGTTAGCATTTTCACGATTAACTTTTTTCCTTGTCAAGCTTAATTTATAGGTTATTTATAAGTCAAGGAAAAACCAGCTTAATTTATAGGTTATTTATAAGTCAAGGAAAAGGGTGTAAACAAGCCGAACACGAGCGAGTCACGAGCGAGCCCAAGCTCAGTAAATGTTTGACTCGCTTATATTTCGAGCTCAAAAGGTATGTTTGTGTTCACCCCATTTGCTTAGCCAACGGAGCACAAGTTGTTCTCAACAAAGAGTCGTTTTGACAACCCTAATCACGTAGTCTTAAGATGTTAAGGGTTTGAACAAAATTTAAAAATTATTATTTATATTAAAACTTCATTTGGATTTAATTTAATAATTTTCATTAAATTTTTAATTTAATATTTTTAACTGATTATAATTATTTGTAGCCTTATAGTGAATTAAATTTTTTTAAAATACTACTCATCAATA